GTCACTTGCAAGTATATTTATTATTGCACTTGTTCTTAAGCTGCGACCTAAAGCATGGTTTTAGTTAACCTTAAAAAAGAAGAAAAGTAATTGGTTGATCTCCACGCATGTGCACTAATTCAGGTGAAAATGATGTTGCACACAAGCCTGACTGAGACGTGTGTTTTCTGAAAACAGTGCTAATTATCTTTGTGGGCTGCTCTCAAAAGCCAACACAATAAAAGTAAACACAGCTGACATTTTTTCATTCCACAGTGGGTCATTAGTCATGTGGTTTCCCACTGGGGCATGATTCATTTAGTGCATTAGCCATTTCAGCACAAGAAGGCAACATTTCAGTATTTAATATAAATATTTTTTAAAGCAAGTAAGTCCTGAATGCACCTGTGAAGACAGCAGTGAATGGCAGTACTGCTTTTTTGGGGGGTGTTTATTAATGCAACATGTTTTAAAATGTGCAGAGGCAGGTTTCAGGATAGATCCCATTATTTGTCTGCTTACTCTGACATATTAGGTCATGGTCTCTTAGAACAGGGCAAACTATATTTTAAACTGTTCAGCATGAGCTTTCTCCTTCATGAATTTGATTAAATGGAAAGGTAGTATGTCTGAAGTCCTGTTTGACACAGTGTCTTTCCAAATCTAGATGATCAAAACAAGAAGTTCCAAGGTACCCGCTCTTGCTGAATATGTCCGGTAAGTTTGTTTTAATATTCAACACATAAAAATCCTTCCTCCAAACAGATCGCACTAGAACATCGCGTTCATCATTTGCTCCATTATGTCATGATTCATGCAGTCACAGTTTTAAGTACTGGCTTTTCTCTGTTTATTTGACTCATAATGGATTGTCCTCCACAGCTCTAACCATCCCTATGAGGTGGCTGAGGTCATCAGCCTGCCTATTGACCAGGGTAACCCGCCTTACCTTAAGTGGATTGGAGACATTGTTCCTGAGTAAAGGTGGACAGTTAGATTAGTGGACGAATTTTGGGATGATTGATGGATGTAAAAAAATTATGTAATACAAAAGTTCATTCTTTTCAAACACACCCCCATTATAAAAAAAACCCTGTCCAGATTTGTAATTATTGTTACAAACTGCATTAAATGTTGGGATTAAAAACATGTTCTGAAATATTTGCAGTGCTTCTTTCTCCTGGCAATGAGCTGAGGCTTGTAAATAACTGCCTTCCCTCTAGTATGTGGACCTCTAGAGGGCAGCAATGTTTTGTCCTTTTTCAAAGTTAAACTGGTGCAGAATTTAACTTTATCTCGGTGAACCC